CGAACCGCTCCTTGAGGAGCTTGAGGAATTGAGAAAGAGGAGTGACTTTGCAATACGCAACCAGGTTGTTTTCACAACCAGCTGTACGCGCGAGTGACCTGGCGAAGCTAGCCGCTTCGTCCTTCAGGGCCTGGAAGGCTACGAGGACTTGCTCCTCTGTTAGGATATGTTGCAAGTAAATATAACTGTTGACACTGGCTTTCCAGTTGTCAAAGTTCTCTTCCTTCTTCCCCCCGTACGCATTTGGGAACTTGAGTTTCACTGGATCCTTACGGGGTCTGGCCTCTCCCTCTACAGCGGCTACAGCTTTGGCACCGTGAATGGCGCCCTCACAAAACTTCCCTACATTATCTCTCAATTGCTTCACTTCGCCCCCAATATGGGTGACGAACTCGCGCGCAAAATCTCGAAACCCTGACCGCATGGCACTCAACGCTACATCCTGGCTCCAGCTTGCCTGGCGCTCCTCCATCCAGGCCTTGCTCAACACCTCCAGGTACCCCAGTACTTTGTCCCACTTGGCCTTATCGTCTGGTTGGGCGAGCACCTCCGCTCTACACTCCTGCACCTTTGCCACCTCTGCGGTCATCTTGTTCACTTCCTCTCTCCTCTTCTTCTTCTCTCTCTTCATCCTCAGYTTCCATGCTAACTTTTGTTCCTCCTCCCTCTCTCTTCGTTCCATCGGGTCTGTCATGGTTGCTAGCTCGGCGGCCAGCGCAACCTTCTCATCCTTAGTTACATAGGACTCCGCCTCCTCGTTTTCCCCCAACGATAAATTAGCGACCCACTCGCTGATCCTCTTCTCCAGCCTTGTATTTGTCTCCCTCGTCATCGTGCCACTACTACTCCCTTCTCCACTCTCAATCCTCATCCTCTCTTTCTCTTCTTCTGCTGCCGCTTCTGCTTTAGCAACTTTTCTTCTTTCTTCCTCCTCTTGTTGTACTTTCTTCATCTCCTCCTCCAATCTCTTCATCTTTGCCGCCTGCTCGTCTTCGATAGCCTTTAGCTTGGCTTGCTTTTCACGCTCGTTCCTCTCCTTACTCTCTCTGACTAAGGCGGCCATCTTTTCTTGCTGCTCAGTGGTGTAGGGGCTAGTCTCCTTCCCACTACGGGTCTCAACCATGGTGATAAGTGTACAACCGGGTTAGTGGTTCCAAACCTCACCACGTAGACGTCAACCCCTGACTGTCAGACCTACTGACTCAATCTAAGACTCACTGAATTCTGACAGGGATCCTGTCAACTATGGTCTCTAGCCTAGACCTACACTATGGCTGTCACTACTGAACCAGTGGCTGATCAGRAGGCATTTAAGGAGATCCCCCGTAACTCCTCAAGAATTATTTAACGTCGCAGACAAGACGACGTGATCAGCTTGGTTCTGCCTGTGCTTTCCGCCCACAACTCAGCCTTTCTAGCCTACTGTGCCACACCGAGCAGCCCGCCGGTYTGTACCGGTCCTTGGGAGGGTTCGTATCCCCCGGGACAGTCGAGTCGTCAGACACAGATCATCAGCCTTACTTGGTCTGGTAGGGGAGTGGTTCCAACAGGCCCTCAACACTTAAAGACGGCCTCCGTTTCAGCCTGCAGCTCAGAGTTCGGACCCTCTACACTGAAACTGAGTAGACCTGCTGGACAGTACCGGTCATTGGGCTAGACGAGTTGTTTAACGAGCGCTCGCCGCTCATGCCCAGGTCTCCAG